GTGCCACTTAAAAGTGGTGTTAAAACACCAACAATCAATCATTTCTGCCCCTGTCAGATTTTCTCTGACTGTAGCCGTTTACAAGATAATAGACAAAACTTGCATTTTCCTTCAATATGTTCTATTTTAGCCAATTGTCAGCAATGTTGATTTGCATTCAGTGTTATAATATTGGGCATAATTTTAAGACTTGATATCCATAATGATGATTGTGGCCAAGTTCAGTTCTAATTGGGCAAGCAGATTAATTCAGAAGAAGAGATTATTGTGTATAAGTTAGGATGGACAACAGACACCAAGTGATAAGAATAGCTTCCTTCTAGTTTTTGAGATCTTAGGCAAAACATGAAAATTGGTAAAAATTATTATTTAAGGGCAGTAATTCCAATTTAGGTTATCAGATACTTTGGGTTCAAATTGAAAGTATGTGGATCTTGACATACTGAGCATTTCTGTCAAGATTATGGTTTTCAAGATACTAGACAATTACTTCCATTTAGACATTTATGTTCTATTTTCATTCAAAGGCGTTCAGGTTTTAGATTGGTAGGGACAAAAAAAACAATATCTTAATACTTATAAACTCAACATCATTTAGCTTAATTTTGATTATTGATCTACCGGTTTCAGGAGAAGATTTTTTTAAAGGTTTATGAGACAAAAGACCCAAGTGATGGCAATAGCTCACATGGTCCTTAACTAGGCAAGGTGAGGTAAAAATGCTTTTGTACTTCATACAGTATCCAAGTTTTTCATTAATTTTGCTATTGATTAATGTAAACTAGTAACTGTAAGTTAAAGTAGAGTGGAAAACTCAAATAAAAATAGTCGAGAATATAAAACTTGGATCTTTCCTTATTAAACTATATGTAGCTACAGAAAGGTTGAAAATTGCTAAATAACTTCACCATGAAGTGGGCTAGAAAGGGCTAAACACGAAAATAATTTGGTTTACAATATACATGATGTAGTTATCCTTAGCCTTTACACTAAATCGTATTTATACTATAGGTGACATGTTTGTAAATGTTTTTACTGAGTTATCTAGTCAGTATATATACATTAGTATTACTTATGTATATATACTGACATTGTGAGATTAACATGACCAAGGATAAATAATGGATGACCCACTGACCAAATAATCCACAATCTGAAGTCAAGAAGCAAAACTGCCCCTATGACCAAATATCTTGTTCACAGCCTGACTGAAGTCACAAAACAATTCTGACCCACTCACCAATATCTTATACACAGCCTGACTGAAGTCACAAAACAAATCTGACCCAATTACATAATGGGTTATCCACAGCCTGACTGATGTCACAAACAATTCTGACCCACTCACCAATATCTTGTACACAGCCTGACTGAAGTCACAAAACAAATCTGACCCAATTACATAATGGGTTATCCACAGCCTGACTGATGTCACAAACAATTCTGACCCACTCACCAATATCTTGTACACAGCCTGACTGAAGTCACAAAACAATTCTAACCCAATGACAGTTTGTCTTATCCTAATGGGTTATCCACAGCCTGACTGATGTCACAAACAAGTCTGACCCACTGACCAAATATCTTGTTTTCAGCCTGGCTGAAGTCACAAAACAAATCTGACACACTAACCACATGACTTGTACTAAGCCTGACTGAAGTCACAAAACAAATCTGACACACTAACCACATAACTTGTACACAGCCTGACTGAAGTCACAAAACAAATCTGACACACTAACCACGACTTGTACACAGCCTGACTGAAGTCACAAAACAAATCTGACACACTAACCACATAACTTGTACACAGCCTGACTGAAGTCACAAAACAAATCTGACACACTAACCACACGACTTGTACACAGCCTGACTGAAGTCACAAAACAAATCTGACACACTAACCACATGACTTGTACACAGCCTGACTGAAGTCACAAAACAAATCTGACACACTAACCACATAACTTGTACACAGCCTGACTGAAGTCACAAAACAAATCTGACACACTAACCACATAACTTGTACACAGCCTGACTGAAGTCACAAAACAAATCTAAAACACTAACCACATGACTTGTACACAGCCTGACTGAAGTCACAAAACAAATCTGACACACTAACCACATAACTTGTACACAGCCTGACTGAAGTCACAAAACAAATCTGACACACTAACCACATGACTTGTACACAGCCTGACTGAAGTCACAAAACAAATCTGACACACTAACCACATGACTTGTACACAGCCTGACTGAAGTCACAAAACAAATCTGACACACTAACCACATAACTTGTACACAGCCTGACTTGAGCCACAAATCAAATCTGACACACTAACCACATGACTTGTACACAGCCTGACTGAAGTCACAAAACAAATCTGACACACTAACCACATAACTTGTACACAGCCTGACTTAAGCCACAAAACAAATCTGACACACTAACCACATACCTTGTACACAGCCTGACTGAAGTCACAAAACAAATCTGACACACTTACCAAATAACTTGTACACAGCCTGACTTAAGCCACAAAACAAATCTGACACACTTACCAAATAACTTGTACACAGCCTGACTTAAGCCACAAAACAAATCTGACACACTAACCAAATAACTTGTACAAAGCCTGACTTAAGCCACAAAACAAATCTGACACACTTACAAAATAACTTGTACACAGCCTGACTGAAGTTACAAATCAAATCTGACACACTAACCATATAACTTGTACAAAGCCTGACTTAAGCCACAAAACAAAACTCAACCAAAGACCAAATATCTTATACACAGCCTGACTGAAGTGACAAAGCAAAACTGACCCAATGACCAAATATCTTGTACACAGTCTGACTAATTTTACCAAAACTTACAGAATGACTAATATCTTATAGATGGCCTGAATGAAGTCAGACAGTGACTAAGTTTCTTTTCCACAATGACTGCAGAAAGGTCAAGACAAAAAAAAAATGATCAACTGATGAAATTTATTCTCTACAGCCCAACTACAGTGAGGTCATCTCACTTAACAGAACTGACTGATTGTTAAAACTTCTTATTCACAATCTGACTGCAGTAAGATAAAATCCATAGAAACTGTTTCTAATCCATAGTCTGATTGAGGTGGACCTCAAGTTAAAATTTGCTTCAAATCATAAAAGGTCCATGGCCAGGACCATTTGAATTTCCAAGTGAAAAGTCCTCTTTAAGAATGTCAAAGGTCCTGTATAAAGCATCAGTGTAAAGAATGAAAGCCTAGGTCTTTTACTTTGTAGTTCAAAAATGTAAAGTCCACTCTCAGAAAAGTCAGGTCTAGGACCTTAGACTCATTCTAATTTGAACCCGTGCTGCGTGTACTGGGATATCAATAAAGACAATCTGTAAAGTCTTTGCTTACCAGGATGCTTTCAATATCATAGCTCCTAAGTAGGGCTACACAGATGTCAACTACTGAACGTGAAGCTAGCCGAGCCGCTAAATAGGTCTAGATAGCCTAAAAAATTCATACTATCTAGAGAATCCAAAATGGCATCCGATAGGTTATTATTAATGACGTCATTTAGATAGCCTAGCTATTTAGCATATCGTTCTAACATAGATATCTAGGACATAGTAGCTATCTAGCTGCTAGGGTATTGAACGCGACCCTGTACTTATGATGACTCTGAATAAAAAAAATTTCATAATCCCAAACCTTTTAAACTTACAAAGCGTAAACAGATAAAAAGTGAAGTATATTTGTTATGAAAGTGTTCTTGAATACTGGCGGCCCTGTTAGTCCTGTATGACCACCATGAATCAAGTATGTCCACCAGTTTTGGTGTAGTGGTTGGACCGATGTCCAACTAAAAGTTTGAGGTGGTTTTAGTCTTTTTTTTTTTAGCTTTCTGGTAATCAATATAGATAATGATTACAATGATATTATGATCAGATGAAGGGGCAGAAAAATCGCCACTGTAACAGGCTTTACATTAACATGTGCTGAAGAAAAAATAACATGAGCAGAAAGGGGACACTGATGCTCAACCTTAAGGCATATATATCTAATGTCATATCTGATCTTCTTTAGAACAGCTGTATGTAGTTTGCTTTATGTTTCGTTGAGTCATATTTTAACACTCTTTTTAACAAAACATCATATAATTGTAATTATCGTGATGCTTTTTCGGGCGTTTTATAATCTATGGTTATTAATATTTTTTTGTTACACAATGTTTTTACATTACATTCAAGCACCACGAAAATATTACAATAATTATCATTTACATCAGGGGGAGACAAATCACAATGGCCATATTGGTTTGTTACCTAGTATGTTTTGGGTTGCAAAAAAAACCAAAATCAAAGATCAACATGTACAAATGTACTAACATTCTTACATTCTCATTTAAACCAAGATGGCACTTAATGTAATATGAAATCTTGTATTTATTATGTTTTCCATATCGTAAGGTTGAATTGCTGAAAGACCCCCCTACAAAATTATTTAAAATCTATTATTTTGCATAAACCATAATATCTTGGTGTAAATTAGATACCACCAATCAAGCCATCACCCTCATGGGTGTATCTAATAATTATAAACCTTAAGTAAACATAATATAAGTTTCACAAAATCCTTACATATATTGAATGACAAAACAGCACTGGTGGTATATATATAATTGTCAAAGACCATAAGAGTATCTACGATAACAAAATTTTCAAATATTATGAGGAAGAGATGCAAATGTCAAACATGACACGATTATCCAAGGTCAAGGTCAATTGTAACAGGTTGCATGGGTGGAGAAACCATATGGCAAGTGTAGACCGTCTGCTTCTTATAACAGTACACATTGTCTGAGACACAAATCTAAATTAAGTACATCATCACTGTGTAATTACACATACCTTATCAACATGTCTCTCCTGGTCAAGATAGTTGTTATTTTAAACAGTAGCCGACCACAAAAATGTACACAACAATTTATAATCGTTCTTTTCTTACCTCTTTATGTTACATCCTGTGTATATAAACTACAGACAACAACATGGCCTGACGTCATCTTAACTGATGAATCAAACTCATTAATTAATCCCACCTCTCCTCATGCCATGAAGGCCCTTGCTCCTTCATTCTACGATTCAATAAATAAAGGGTTATCTTGCTAACCTAACTTTTCCTTCCCTCTGTTTCTTTTTCTTCAAAACATTTGTCAAATCAAAAATTGTTGTTTATATTGATTTTTCTTCTATCAGATCATTCCTACACATTTTTGAAATTCATAAAATATCCATTTTTTTTATTTCTTGAAACTTTTCCTCTTCAAATCTCAAACAGTTATTACTGAAGACAAAATTCAAGCATTAAACTAACCCAGAATAATCTAAATCAATTAAATACAATAGATCTTTAAATTTGCTGCTATTTTTAGAGCTACAGTACTATTTTCAGGCTCTCTTGTTTGATGGGTTGTGGGAGTAATATAAAAGCCTGTTATCTGATAAACAAATTGAACATGATCATGACTTAGAAAAGGTTTTTTATACCACCTGTTAACTTGGAACAGACTGAAGATTCTTCAAAGAGAAAAGTCATCGCAAAAACACATCAACAACAACGGCTGAGATCATAATGACCATCCCCAACTGGCTCAAAACCAGAAACACAATTTATTGCCAATGTATGTCATTACTCATTTGTCTTAAAAAAACTTCATGGATCATGTTTACAGTTATAGTTGAGATGGTCATCTAAGTAATTCATTTGAGGTGAAACTTTTTTCAGTCCTGTATTTCCGTCTAATGCTAATACATGTATAAACCATATATCCTGGGGAGGGTCTTTTTATCCTTTCTAGTGATTTTTTTTTACATTATTCTGATTAGCCTCCCCTTATAGGCAAATATTAAGTGTAGGCCTCTCATTCCCCCTCCTTTTCAAAAATTTTGGACCTATCACAGACAATTATAATTCTACCTAAGTTAACCTTATCATGAAAAAGAGAGACCTAGACCTAGATAAGTCCAGATGTATTAATTAATCTTTAATCAAATAATGAATTTACAAATCTATTTTTAAACAAATGTTAAAAAACGTAGCTTATATACAGGACATGCTTACTAATCATTAAATAAAGGAAATGCATCAAATCTTTTAAAAAAATGTAATAAACTAATACAGGAAATCACAATCATGTTAAACATCAGATCAGGGGAGATAACCCAAAGTATGCTCAAATCTTTTTTGATACAAACAAGAATGTGTCCTTAGTACATGGATGCCCCACACGCACTTTCATTTTCTATGTTCAGTGGACCGTGAAACGAACCGAAAAATATAATGCCCCTCTATTATCGTAGGTGGGCATAAAAAATCAAAATTCATCCAAAAGCTTAGGTCCGAGTACACAGTTATTTCGTAGTGCATTTCTTTTAGACAATAAATGAAAATAAAAAAAATCCCACCTGCGCTTTCTCAATAATATTTTTACAGTGTGTTGTACTACTTTTGGGACAAATTATATCAAAATTATAGAAAACTTCATCGGCTCTAACTCAAAATATGGACAATTCTATGTTAAGGGGGTCTTGAAATCTTTTGACAGCTTCCAAAGTGCTAATTTTTAACCTTTTTCAGCTGGACCAAATCACTACTTTACTTTACAATTCATGACCCAAATTTTTTTACAGTGTAATTTCATCCCCCTACTTGCTATTTGAGGCATAAAACATGAAGGAATACATTTGGAAGGGGTACTAAAAAAATTGGCAAGCAACACACTGTCCACACTAGGGACTTTATTCGTGGACAACGAAAATCAAAGGACGATAACTGTGTACTCGGACCTAATAGGATAGAAAAATTTGACCAATCTTAATAAAACTTGGTATGACTAAAGCTTAATAAATTATGAGACTGCTGACAAAGTTTCATGGCAATAGGATATATATTATAGACAATATGATAAATTCTATATTCAACTTCGCGTGTTAAATTTTGACGTTTAAATTGAAAAATTTCAACTATCGACATTTGGGGCTTTAAAAATTAAAATATTGCAAAAAATTACATTTTAAAGGGCTTTATATATGACATATTATGTATTTAAAGCAATAGAATACTCATTTGATTTATCAGACTTATCACAATTATTTAAAAGTCAAATTTATATGAGCCTGTGCCAAAAAATGGAGGTTTTCCAATGAATGGGGGCCTTACATGAAGATGTATTATTTTCCAGCAATTTTAAATTTGTGGAGTTTTTTGGTTATAAATAATCCTTACATATGTATTAAATGTACTTTAAATGGAAAGAAAAATTACAAATAGCATACCATATTAGTATAAAAGGGTCTTAAGCCAAGTAAGACTGAAAATAATTTAGGGTCAATTTAGGCCGTAGCACATATTTACATTTAAAAATGCATACTGAAGCTATAGGAAATAAAAATTTGTGTCTCTTTTATAATTTCTATACTCAGGTTACATGATACAATAAATCTGAGAATAAAGGGACTCTTGCATTCTACTTTTTTTGCAGACAGTATGGTCTGATACAAAGATTTTTCACTTTTTAGTGAAAAACTTGCATGCAATTTTAGCCTCAGCAGGCTTATATTTGAACCACTTGCTATTTAACATAAGAAAAGAAAGATACTATGTGAAATGAAACAGGTACAAAAGACATTGTGAAGTGCTTTTAATACAAATTTAGTGAAATCTTTATTATGGACTTCAACTTTTATGTACCTAGGTCCTCACATTTAACTTGATCCAAACAGGCCGTTACACGAGGGTCATTTATACAACACATTTTGCACATATTGTCTGAGATAATCTTATTTTCTGTAGATTCAGAGTTCACAAATGAGTAATACAACTGGGTTAAAGCATAGAAACACAAATATTGACACAGGAAAACCTGTCACATAGAAAGTCAGAATGCCATTTATGCATCAAAATTGAAAAAGCTTTGAAATGCTTATTTTGACCATATAATGCCAAAATGGGTAATTTTTGCAGAATTTCTATCAAATAAAAGTTTAAATTCTTTAGTTTCATGCTATCTGACAAATTGACACCATTAAATCATTCAGGGAAGTTGCCAAAGTACAGATTCTATATTTACTGATTTCGCCTCTTAGGTCCGAGTACACAGTTATTTCGTAGTGCATTTCTTTTAGACAATAAATGAAAATAAAAAAAATCCCACCTGCGCTTTCTCAATAATATTTTTACAGTGTGTTGTACTACTTTTGGGACAAATTATATCAAAATTATAGAAAACTTCATCGGCTCTAACTCAAAATATGGACAATTCTATGTTAAGGGGGTCTTGAAATCTTTTGACAGCTTCCGAAGTGCTAATTTTTAACCTTTTTCAGCTGGACCAAATCACTACTTTACTTTACAATTCATGACCCAAATTTTTTTACAGTGTAATTTCATCCCCCTACTTGCTATTTGAGGCATAAAACATGAAGGAATACATTTGGAAGGGGTACTAAAAAAATTGGCAAGCAACACACTGTCCACACTAGGGACTTTATTCGTGGACAACGAAAATCAAAGGACGATAACTGTGTACTCGGACCTAGCACTATGTCACATTAGCATTATCATACTTCATTTCCTTATTTTTATAAAGTTCTTAAAACAATCGTAAAAATAACAGATAAAACAATGAGGTACTACTATATATTTCAATTACATTTTGTACTTCTATACTATATATATTTTTTTATATTTCAAAGAAATGAATGTACATGTTGGGACACATTGTACTTATTACTGCTATGTGCATTGTACAGTGCCAACAGAATAAAAGCATTTTAATATGTCAGTAAACATTAGATTCTTACATTTTAAATTAATGCCTGATATATCTTGATCAGTTTTCAAAAAATGGACAAGAAAAAATTAAACAAACAGTCCCGTAGATAACTGTAATTTGAGCAAGTTAACAAGGCTATATCTACATGACCAAATTAGATTTTTAAGGCTGAATAAAATAAATCATTATATATATAATTACTGTACAACACCAAAATCGATTGAATATACTACTAAGTATTTAAGTGGAGGAGTATAGTGATGTATATGTTAAACGTCAGACAAATTTCACACTATTTCATATTATTTATGAGAAAATAACTAATGAATCTTATCTTTGGATAATCATTGGTTACATAACACAAGATAAGTCTATACACTCTCTATAAGATACAATTAAAAGTAATAAAAAGAACACTTTCAATTTAAGTAGGCTAGTAGATGCTTGATACAGTTTTGAATTTTAGGCAAAAAGTACTTAATCTAATTCCTGTAAATTCTGGTGATCTACTTTGAACTTTTAATAAAAAATTTGTCCATTAACAGGAACTGGTCAGTTAGACAGTTGCTTCCCTTTTGCAGAAACTGGTTATGGTAAGCAAGAAAGTTCTTGACACAAAGTACATAATCTAATTCCTGTATATTCCTGTGATCTTCTTTGTATTTGTAATGAAAAGTTTGACCTTTTGCAGATATTTTTTTTAAAAACTAGTGTTGTTAACCCTTGAATCCTCAAACCATAGTTATACAATTAATGGACACTTTTTTTATCAATTATGAATAAAATGACATCAAAATGTCAAGGACCTTTTCTTTAATGCACATTCCTAAATAGAGCCCCAAATATTTCACCAGTGAATCAGATCAACGATGTCAATTATATTCCAGCCTCCACTTTAGAGAGCTCTAATTTAATAAAACACTTCAAATTTGTATAATACTGCCTAGTAAATAATAATATAATAGATAACAGTGTCATGAATGATTGCAATTATTACAGTAATTTCACTGTTCACTCTCGTATTTGTCATGCTCTCACGGAATCTTTCCTTAAATGGGAAAAATTGAGTGTATGACTACAACGGTTAATTGTGCTATAACAACAAGGCAATTTTATGAATGTTGTAACTGATAAGAAAACACAATCGTCAATGAATGTTTTTGATTTTTTTTTTGTACATCTTTACAAATAAAGTTATCAGCATTCATGAACTTATGATCAATTATTTATTCGATCTTTTCCTTAAACTAGAAAGGCTTTGAAGAGCATGTATCGCTCTACTGGACCTATGCCCATTGTCAGCATAGACCATTCTTAAACCCTTTTAAATCTTTTCAATCTGAACAAACAGAATTAATCATTGATGCGTCTGGCTTTAGACAAAATTTGACCAGATTCTCATTTTTCATCAAATTGCAACAAAATGAAGATTTTTTACACAAATTACCTTACATACATTATTTATGTCCATTTTCCCTATCTCTTGTTTTTTTTGTCAAATTATAATCCCCTCCAC